GTGATGAAAGAAAATATGTTTTTTTTTTCCATGGGTCATGGTTGAAAAAATTGAAAGCCCTTATATGAGAGAACGCGAGAGACTTATTGCTCGGTACCAAAATGAGAAAGGAAACTTGGAATTGGATGTCACCATTGTCAATCAGGTCTCTAGATCAACCCCTTATCCTGCTTCTTCTAGGATGGATGGAGGATTTGGGTTCAGATACTAGGGGACACATTTCATTTTGGTTTGCGGCCTATAGTTTAATCTTTCCTTCCCTTCCTTTCCCTCCCTCGCTCCCTGGTTCCTTTCTTTCTTTATTTTTGTGCAAGAGATTGAACCCACGGGTGTTCCAACACTGAGGTACATCCCCGGCCCATTTATATATAGATATATATATATGTTTTTTATTTATTCTAATTTATTACCTATGACAGCAGAATGCATTACAATTCATATTACACATAGAGAGCACCATTTTTCATACCTCTGGTTGTGCACAAAGTAGAGTTACACCATTCGTGTTTTCATACCTGTACCTTTTATTTTTATTTTTTATTTTGAGACAGGGTCTCGTTAAGTCACTGAGGGTCTTGATAAGTTGATATGGCTGGTTTCAAATTTAGGATCCTCTTGCCTCAGTCTCCTGAGTCACGAGGATTTCTGGCATGTGCTTTACCATGCCTGGTCCCATATCCTTATTTCAAAAAGTTGTTTCAGAATCCAGCATGAGCCAAGCATGGTTGTTCGTGCCTGTAATCCCAGTGGCTCAGGAGGCTGAGGCAGGAGGATCAAAGTTCAAAGCCAGCCTCAGTAATTTAGCAAGACACTGTCCCCCAACCCAAAAAAAGGTCTAGCGGTGTGGCTCAATGGTTAAGTGCCCCAGAGTTCAATCCCCAATTCCCCCTCAAAAAAACCAAAAAAAAAAAAAAAAACCAGAATGAAGGGAATCAAGGCAACCCATGTTAGTTTTCTATTGCTGGCTTCATAACAAATTACCCCAAATGGAATGGCTTAAAATACCCATTTATTACCTTCCAGTTTCTCTAGGTCAGAAATCTGAATCAAGGTGTAATAAGGTCTCTCCGGCTTAGCTTTGCTTTATACTTTGGCATTGTGGGTGGTCACCTTCGTTACCAAGGCACATTTGGAAGGTCCTCCCATCCTAAAATATCTTCCTTCCCCATATCCAAAACTCCAATTAAAAAGTCATTCTCTACCATTTTCTCTCAGAACCCCATTATGACTCCAAAACAATTATATGAGTAATTGCTTAATAACTCCTCCACTAGAAAGTGAGTCATGGGCATGCAGTGTGATCACGAAATCAATCTTTGCAATTCTAAGTCACTGAGCCTTGGAGATGTTTGTTACTGCAGCATGGTGTAGCCTACTTTGACAGAGAAATGTTAGAAGAGAATATGAGTTTGATGTTTGAATACTGAGGGATCTTGTGCATGTGGAGACTTTGGGTGGTGAGGACTTGCTACTCAAAGTGTAGGGACAGACGAGCAGCAGCAGCATCGCCTGGGAATTTGTCAGAACTAGACATTTTGGGCCCAGCTGAAACCTATTAAGCCAGACCCTCTACTTGAACAAAATCTCCAGGTGAACAGTGAAGTTTGAGAAGCAGTGGTCTAGAGACAGTTGGAAGGTAAATTCTGAAGCTTCTTAAATACATTTGAGCTGAAGGTTTAATGGGGAGGGCGATCCACACACAGCAGCTTCTCAAAGTGTGGTCCCTGGACCAGCAGCATCTCCATCACCCGGAGACTCCTTAGAACTGCAGATACCCGGGGCTCAACCTAGACCTACTGAATTGGAAACTCTGTAAGTGGGGCCCAGTGTTCTGTGAATCCAGGGGATTCTCACGCACACCAAAAAAATTCTCACGCACTACTGGATGTCAGTGGGAGTTAAAATTATAGCAGTTAATCCTTTCCCTCCTGAAAGAAGAAGAAAAAAAAAAAAAAAACCAATAACATGGACCGATACAATATTGCTCCCATGAGAAAATACCCTGGGCTTTATGATAATGCTCTTTATGATTTATCCTCTAGGATGACAGGGGAGACCAAAGCTGGCCATGGAAGGTCTTCACCACTGGTGGTGACCTCTCTAACTTGATTTTCTCCCAGGTGCAAGCTGCAGGCCAGCGCTCTGGGTGAAGGAGAAAGAGGAGTAGATGGTTGGGCCAGAAATGGAGGCGGGCACCAAAAAACTGCTGTGCCTTTGCCTCCCTGTTCCTGCTGGGCCTTAATACACTAAGAGCGCTGCGTAAGTGCCTCTGGGGACAGTTCCATGCATGCTTGCCCCCTTCTATCAAGAATGCAGCAGAGCAATGACCCAACTCTGCGCAGCCATGTGCCAAGCCACATAGGTGCCCTGACCATGGCTCCCGTGGGGTCCCACAGTTCCAGTGCACCAGGTCACCCCACACTAGCTCAAGTCCTCATCAGTGTTTAGTGACTCTTACATGAGGCCCGTAAGGCCAACGGAGAGGCTTAGAGAAGGGACTGCCAGGATCACCAGGGAGGAAGAGTCACAGTTTGTCCACCTGGGACACAACTGAAACCTCCTCTCCTCGCTTTATCAGAGGGCAGGCTGAGGCGGAACCCAGAAGGTATTACACTGTAATTTCCTAGTTGCATTTTTCTTTTGCAAAAGAGGGATAGAGAAGACCACGCAGGCAAATGCTTCTACCGTGGAAAATGGAATCTTTGCATCTCTGCAGACCCATCGCCTGGCAGTGTGCTCACGCCCCCCTCTCACATGGAGGGAAGTGACACATCTTCAGATGGGAGACAACAGCACTATTTACAGTTAGAATTACCTTTGGAGCTGTGGCCAAGGGACTGAGTCCAGCACCAGCAAAGAAAGTCAGGTCAAGGTCAGTCTTCAGACAAGTTATGTCAGAATGACTCAGGGTAGCATCGGTATTTATTTATTTTTATATTTTTATGTTTTGGGTCCTGGGGATTGAAGCCAGAGGTGCTTTTCTATTAAGCCACAATCCTAGCCCTTTTTTATTTTTTGTTTAGAGACAGGATCTTGCTCAGTTGCTTAGGACCTTCCTAAGTTGCTAAAGCTGGCCGTGAACTTGCAATCCTCCTGCCTCGACCTCCTGAATTGCTGGGATTAGCGGTGTGCACCACCGTGACTAGCTCGGGGCATTGGCATTGAAAACAGAACAGAACGGAACTTTCCAGGTGATCCCACAGCACAGGCAAGGCTGGGAATGGCTATTCCAGGGAGGGTACGGGTCTCAGGGGTTGTTCTTTTCTGGAGCTGAGTGTTGGCCCCTGAAGGCCAAGGTTCTATATTCCCTCATTCTCAGCTGAACTCTTTTAATTTCAGGAGGTGTTTTTAAATTCAAAGTAAGCTATTACATTTAAGCTACTGTGTCATCATATAGGATCAATTTATCCTTTTTATTTATATCATTTTGATCCACTTTTTAGATGCATAATATTTAGTCAAAAGAGCAATTTGTATCTCTTATCTCACAAAATATGCTGGCAGTAGATCAGCTTTTTAATGAATAATTTCATTCATTACCCAATCGGCATGATGGAGACATTATGAATGTGTGGTAAAGGGAATGTGGCCATCTGCATGATATGATGTCAGTGGTTTGGGCTTGTGGGTAGGGCCTGGCTTTACAGAATGAGCAATTTTATGGTGGTCTGGGAAATGGGAAGGACCCATACCAACCACCATTTTACTCTTATCATTTTTTCCCCCCTCAGTACTGGGGATGGAGCCCAGGGGCACTCTACTATTGAGCTTCCTCCCCAGCCCTTTTCGAAAATTTTGGGAAAGGGACTCACTAAATCACCAAGGCTGGCCTTGAACTTGTGATCTCAGCCTCCTGAGTAGCTAGGGTTAGAGGTGTGCACCACCACACCCAACCTCTCTTATCATTTTTATTCCTATATATATTACAATTTGCTCTGGGCCCTACATGGCCATGTACAATAAGTTAAAGGTCATTAAAATGATAACATCGACAATGTTGTTGCAATTAGCATCAAACCCTCTAACATCTCTAAATATGTTTAAGAAATGTTAATCTGTATTCCTCGTGGCAGAGAAAGGAGAGGTGGGCTAGGCCTGCGTACTTACAGATTCATAAGAGTTCTCTCCAATTTTGGTGTTTTTGCTTTTTAATAAGCTCCTAAGTGATGCTCAAGCTGCTCATCCTCACTCTTAAAACACCCAAATTGGAGAGGATCTTATTGAATGAGAAAGAAGATCAGCAGTTTGGGAATCACTTAGGAGCTGATTAACAAGAACATCTCGGGCCACATTCCAGACCCAATGAATCAGAAACTGCAAGAATGCTCTTGAGGTCCCCCAGAAACGGAAGAGGCCTGAGAAGCTCTGGCTCCGCCTGGCCCTGCTGCTTACGAACCAGGAGCTAATCAAATCTATACGAAGAACTTATGGCTGATCGTGGAGGTGAACAGTCTTTGACAACAAAACAGCACAAAATCAGCAGTAAAAGTTGGGGGTGAACATTTCCTCAGTCATAAAAACGTTGGGAGGCCTGTAAAAAGAGCAGGTTGCAGATGACCTTTTGGCTTAGTGATGTCCATTGTTGGGCTATGGATTTAGCCATAATGACACAATATCAGTAGTAAGAAGACACACATAATGCTTTCTTTTTGTCACTGGCATATATATTCTTTATTTTTTAATTGTTGATGGACCCTTATTTTATTCATTTAGTTTTATGTGATGCTGAGAATGAGACCCAGTGCCTCACACGTGCTGGGCAAGCGCTCTACCACTGAGCCACAGACCCAGCCTGGCATATATAGTCTTAAAAACTCGCCTCCAAAATTTATATAAAGACAGGAGAAATGTTCCACACCACGATTGGATCAGAGGTGGAATCTGAAAGTGCTAGGAGTCTCATTTTGGATTTCCCTCGCAGGACATGGACCTGCTGGTTCCCTGCCCCGTGTCTTAGTCTGCCACTCCCTGGGCAGCCCGACTCTCACGACTCTTCTTACCTCCTGGGGTTGTTGGTACTGCGAGGCCATCAGAAGGAACGCCCGCTGGGCCTGGAAGGCACCGTGCACCATTTCCGCCTGAAAACCAAGAGGAAGAAGGCAGCTTCAGTGTTTGGGTCCCTATACCAAAGGTTATCCCAGGACCCAGTAACTCCACCCCAAGGAACAAACCCAAGAAGGATGTGACCAGATCTTCCCACAGTGACTCATCGATGAACGGTCCTAGAGACAAAAAATGAAAAAACCTGCTAAGGTCCGTTAGCAGACACATGGATAAATAACGTGTGATGTGTCTACACAACGGTGTATTATTCAGCCCCCAAAGAAGAAACCGAGTCCTGTCACATGCTGCAACATAGATGACTCTTGAAAACATGCTGAGCAACGGAAGCCACTCACAAAAGAGCACGTTCGTATGACCCCATTTATACAAAATGTTCAGAATCAGCAAATCTGCAGAGACAGAAAGGGGATCAGTGGTTGCCGGGGCTGCCGGGAGGGTGAACTGCTGATGGGCAGGGGTTCCTGTTGGGAGGGACAGGTTAGACAGCGGTGATGGTTTCACAACTTGGTGAATTTGCTAAAAACTGCGGAATCCTACGCTTTGAAAAGGCGGATGTTAGCGTATGTGAATTCTATCTCACCAAGTGCTTAAAAGTTCAAGCCCCCACAGCCTCTTGTTTTCACAGAGTGTCTCTGTCTCCTGTCCTCCTTCCCTGTGCCCCAAATCTGTTCGACACCTTCTAGTAGACAAAGAATCGTCCCATAAGCCACCCCCACAAAGATATGCTCACCAAGAGGCATGGCTTCTGGGATCCTCCTTAAGGTCTGGAAAAGAGTTTTCAATGTCACTCTGGGCCTTGGCCAGGGGGTGCCAGGACCACAGGTTCACAAAAGGATGCGTGCAGGTGGGAACACCTTCTGTCTTTCACTCTCTACTCATACTTAAGTAATTAGTTAAGTGTACCAAGATCATGTCAAAAATCATGTCAAGTACCTTTTCACCCAGAATCGATCCTTTTAAGTGTACTATCTAGTTTTAAAGACGATTCAGGATTTTTTTTTGGTAAGATACAGCATAGTGATTTGAAATAATCATTAGAAATGCAGAATGTTTCAGAGATAGAAGTTTTTTTTAAAAATGTCTGATAAATGGATAAATAACATGTGACATATCATTATCAGTATTAGCTAAACACAATTTCCTACAGAATTTATACAAAGAGGGCTGGAGATGCAGCTCAGTGTAGAGTGCTTGCCTTGCATGCACAGGTCCTGGGTTTGATCCCCACCAACAACAACCAAAACAAAAAAAAAAAAGAAAGAAATGCAGAGAAACTTACAAAATGAGACCATACCTACCACTGTTTTTTTTTTTTAATTAAAAGCATATATTTTAATTATAATTGAATAGTAGATATGAAAAGTAACTGTAAAACTGAAAAACTTACTGCACTATAATAGCTATTATGTCCTAAGTGATCATTCTAAGGTTAAAAAAATTGTAATATATTATCAGATTGGAATACTTATCTCCATAGTGCTTAGAGTCTGTCTTGAACTTATTTGTCTGAAATCTGTGTTCACTGTAATCAGATGAATATTTTTTTCTACTGTTAGTAAACATTTTAACAGGTCTCACATGTTAATGTGTCTAGTTAATCATTTCTGTATTTTAATGAAGTTCTGAGTTATTTTTGTGGGAAGGTGAAGTACTGGGGATTGAATTCAGAGGCACTTGACCACTAAGCCACCTCCCCAGCCCTGTTTTGTACTTTATCTAGAGACAGGGTCTCACTGAGTTGCTTAGCGCCTCACCACTGCTGAGGCTGGCTTTGAACCCATGATCCTCCTGTCTGGTGCGCCACCATTGTTCTGAGCACTTGATTGACTAGACTTTCCACTTTTCATTCACTATCATTCTCTCACCTTGTCTTTAAGCTATTTTAAAATTACTTTTACACTTTGTCAAAATTCACAGAGTGCAAGTTCTATTCTTATTAAGCCATAGTGAGGATTCTGTTTCTGTTACTTAAGTTTATTTTCTTCAAGGGTATTAGCATTGGGATCTGGACTGTGCCCCAGGGGGCCATGTGTTGAAGGGTTGGTTCCCAACCTGGCGCTACTGGGAGGAAGAGGAACCTTTGAGAGGTGGGGGCTAGAGGGAGGTCTTTAGGTTAGTGGCGGAAATGTCCTTGAAGGTGATCATGGAGTCCTGGTCTAGCTTTTCTCCCTTTCATTCTGGCTGCAAGGTGAGAGCTTCCTCTGCCATGCACTCCCCCCATGATATAAGATCTTACCACAGGCCCAAATGAGTGTGGATTGAGCCTCCTGAAACTGTGAGACAAAATAACCTTTCCTCTTTTTAATTTGATTCCCTCTGGTATTTGGTTAGAGTAATGGAAAGCTGACTAACACAAAGGGTCAGCCCACATCTCTTTACTTTGCACCTCATGTTCTATTCTGGTACACTTTTTGTAGCTGCCCTCCTGGTTCTTTTCATCTTGTTCATACTTGACCCTCCGTGTCCAGATACTTAAAATTTTCTGTAAAATCACAAGTGATTCCTTGAGTCTCTGGATTCCATAGTGAAGCTAGTGTCTTTCCTCTCAAGCAACAACTTGAGGGTGAAATGCTTTGTGCTCTCTCTTCTTCTAGGGCCTAAAGGAACAGGGTGTAGGGAAAGGAAGGGCTCAGTGGAGGGGATATCCAGGCTTTATTTTTGGGTGCTGCTAACTCTACCTGATTGCAACGTTTGCCATTCTCAAGGAGTAGTCCCCTCGGGTTCTGGGCCATGTTTCCAATTTACAACCTAGACACAAAGCCTCCCATGAGAGAGATGCACCCCGTGGCTCTTTTCTTGCTTTCCATTCTCCTTTCCTGATTTCACTTCCTCTAAGGTAAGTCTTTAAGGGCTGGGAAGGAGCAGAGTTAGGAACCCAAACTACTCAGCCACCAGGTGCTGACATGTCTTGCTTTAGATTATGGCTTTTTTGGTTTGGTGATAAAAGGGAGTTTTCTTGGTTTTTGTTTGTTTGTTTGTTTTATCCCCACCCCTGCTTCCTCTGCCCTTCATTTGTGGGAAGGAAAAATTCTTTCCCTAAAGAGTGATTCAGTCTGATTTGGCCATGAGTTTTTATTCCTTTTTGCTTACTGATGTCTTCTTAATCTCTTCCTTGTTAGCTTCATATCTGTTTGGGGTCAGATTCTAACTCTCGGAAATGATATAACTCTATGATAGATAATAGGTAAGTACCAGCTTAATGCATTTTTGAAAAGTAAACACCTTGGATGGGTTGGGTTAACCCCAGTGTCAATATCAGACGATTTTCTGGGATGGAAGGGCACAAGATGCTCACCAAATGGGAAATGACCAGTTTTTATTCTTCCATTTACCACGTTTGGGCACACATTTTTCCAAAACGTTTGCTGTAATGACCACCTTAATTTTGATTCTATTCCTCACTACTTCTCATCTAAGGATTTTATTTTTCCTCCACGAAGAAAATGTTTGAAATCAAACTAAGATTTGTGAATCATTTATTTTTAAAACCACAAATTGACATCATCGCCAGCATAATGAAGTCTTGTGAATGTTTAAATGGGCTTATATTTTTCTCAAAGCCATTTTTGAAGGACGCCATCTTCCTTCCTCTTTGTCCTGGTTGTCTGATTGCTGGGACTATATTGCTCAAAAATCTCAAATTTCAGATATTGCTTAGGGAAGAACAGAATTTTTCAATTTCTGTTGCATTTTGACCTTGTAAATGTGAAGCTCTGAGCTGCACGTTTTTCTACCTCTCAATACGTATATTTTTCGGTGATTCAGAAGGCTTTTGTTGGTCTCTAATGACCATATTTCCAAAGACCATAAGATAAAACTTCCCGCAGCACGGCTGTAAATAAAATAACTGCACTCTCCCGGCAACGATGCCACTCGGGCACCCTCCGCATCCACCACAAGCCTTGCAGCTTCGCCTGAATTATGGTTGCCATGGGAACGGTGATTCGGGATGGCCCGACTTCTATAGTTAAAACTGTAGCTCAGACATTTTCCGTGGTTATCCCAAGATGCACACTGTCGTTAGCGTTTTTTCATTTTCCCTAGTAACGACATTCAGCCTGTTGCTAATAGACCAATTTTCTGGCAAGGCCAATTAGTGAAGATGGGCAATTTCATTAATTAGTCTCTTCCTCCAAATGGCCTTTCACTGAACAATGGGGGTTGAGGCTGGGGTGGAGAACTGCAGGGTACCTAGAGATCTGCTTCAAATCCCTTTCCTTTGGCCTCCGTAGACGAGACCTTTCTGAGGGTTTGCCTGTGCCTTCTTTCAGCTCCCTGGAACTCTGGGTCCCCTTAGCCAACCAAACCCCACTCATTTTTAAACTCATCAGTCCACACGTCAAAGGGCTTTCATTCCCACTTTGAGATATTCTGAGCCACTTGCTTCTACCTTCTGGAAAGTTCCATGAGTGGGCCCCACCAGACAGCCTCCTATTGAGGAGAAACTTCATTGAACCTGCTGAGTCTGGTGCCTGCAAAGGGAGAATTTGGCTCACTCAGGCAATTCAAAACAGTGTGAAAGAAAAAGCCACACACAGGGGTTTTCGGGAACGGCAGATTTACCGAGGGTTTCTGCTGAGTTTGTCCATCACACGTGTGCAGGGCTCTCAGAGCCCTGGTGACCTCTGTGGGGGAACATGCGCATCTATCTGCTGCTGACTCGTGTGTGCACAGAGGAGAGGGACCGTTTGGTAAAGGCCCAGACTGTGCATTCGTGTGAACTCCTCCATTAGCACTCTGGTTCTCAGGCAGGTTGGGGGGCACCTGTCGTTCTGTGGTCCTGGAGCAGGAAAATGAACTTCAGGAATGGTTTAAAGCAAGCCTTGGGGGAAGCAAGCAGACACCAGCTGACTATGACTTGCTTTCTGTAACCCTCTTGGGAGTGAGAGCTGGTGCCTTCCTCTGGGGAAGCCCAACCGACCTCTCCATCCTCATCAAAGCTGTGTTTGCAGTGTTTCATTGGAAAAGCCACAGGCTGCAAACAAAGTCCCACATGGACAGCAAAATAAACGGC